GAGAAATGTCTACGCAGGTCCTTTGCCCATTTTTCAGTGGGCCATTTTCTTGCTGTTGTTGAGTTATAAGAAGTCTTTCTGAGGAGTCTGGCTCCAAGCCAGAATCCTATGTGCGACCTTCCAGGCCTGACACGAGGTGCTTCCAAGGCTCTGTCTGGTGGGCTCCCCTGGGGAAAAAGCTGCGTTCCCCATTCCAGATTTGGAACACAGCCAGCGTATGGCACTCTTCTGGAGGGAGTTACGGGCAAAGCCCAGGCCCCCTGCCCCTGAGCTCGCATGCATATCTGCCTTCCTAGCCCAGGCAACTTCCATTTGGTGGCGTCCTTATTGGGGGCTTTGGCTGAGGCATCTCTCAGGTACTTCTGAGAATTATTTGGAGGCCTTGGCCGAGGTATTTTTCTCCTCTCTGACCCAATGGGTTTCTATTCCTATTTCCTTTGCTATATTCTGAATGTTTGTGTCCCTCCCAAATTCATACGTTGAAATCCTGTCGCCCAATGTCATGGTCTTAGAAGGTGGGGCCTTTGGGAGGTGATTAGGTCATGAGGGTTGAGCCTCATGAATGGAGTTAATGCTCTCATAAAAGAGGGCTGTCACCAGAATGTGACCCTGATGGTGCCTTGATCTTGGGCTTCTAGTCTCCAAAACTGTGAGAAATTAATTTCTGTTGTTTATAAGCCTCCCACTCTTGGTATTTTGTTATAGCAGCTGGAATGATCTAAGACCCCCACCTCTCAGTCCCCTGGGTCCATGAAGAGATAGGAGCCTTACTTTTGGGATCCTCAGCAATGAGATGATGTCCCCTTTCTGCACTGTATATCATCTGGCCCTAACCCAGTGCCATTCTATAAGGAAAAATGGAGCACTAGGGCACTGGCACCTTTAACTTTGTCTCTTGTTTGCAGTGTCACAGTAAATGAAAAAAGTTGATTTTATTTTCAGTTTAGCTTGTCCTTATTAACCAGCGTGGTACCTGGCCGTTTGACGTGTTACATGTTATGGGTATTAGACCCCATCAGATATATACTTTGCAAATACTTTCTATACATTCTCTTTTCACTTCTTTGATAGCACCCTTTGATACACAAAAGTTCTTAATTTTTTTTTAAGATTTTATTTGAGAATGAGAGAGAAAGAGAGAGAGCATGGCGGGGAGGGTCAGAGGGAGAAGCAGGCTCCCCGCTGGGCAGGGAGCCCGACGTGGGACTCGATCCTCGGACTCCAGGATCATGATCCAAGCTGAAGGTAGTTGCCCAACCAACTGAGCGACCCAGGGACCCGAAAGTTTTTAATTTTGTTGAAGTCCAATTTGTGTGTTTTTTCTTGTATTTCTGGGGCTTTTGGCATCATATCTAACAGTCCACTGCCAAAGCTAAACTCATGAATGTTTCTAGAATTTTATTGTTTAGCTCTTACAGTTAGGTCATTGATGCGTTTTTTAGTTAATTTTTGTATATGATGTGAGGTAGGGGTCTGACTTTGTCCGTTTGCTTGTGGATATCAAGTTGTCCTAGCACCAAATGTTGAAAAGAAAAAATAAAAGTTTTTTTTTTTTTTTTTTCCCATTGAATGATCTTGGCACCCTTGTTGAAAATCAGTCGACCATGTATTTGAGATTTATTTCTGGGCTTTAAGTTTGTTCCTTTGGTCTGTATGTCTGTATGCCAGTACCATTGTTTTGATTAAAGTTGCTTTGTATTTTGAGTTTTCAAAATTGGGAAGTGGGAGTCCTCTAAACATTGTTTTTCAAGATTTGACTATTTGGGGTCCCTTGCAATTCTATGTGAGTATTTGGATCAATTTTTGTAAAAAAGATTGGGAGTTTGATAAGGATTTTGTTAACTGTGTAGATTGCCTTGGTGAGTATTATCATTGTCTTCCAATCCATAAGCATGGTATGCCACTAGTTTAGGTCTTTAATTTCTTTTGACAATGTTTTATGGGTTTTAGTGTACAAGTCTTGTGCCTCTTTGAAGTTATTTCTAAGTGTTTTCCTTTTTTTCATGCTATTATAAATGGAATTGTCATTTCCTTTTCTAAGTGTTCATTTCTAGTGTATGGAAATGCAGTTAGGGTGCCTGGGTGGCTCAGCCAGTTAAGCATCTGATTCTTGGTTTTGGCTCAGATCTTGATCTCAGGGTGGTGTGCTTGAGCCTGTGTGGGGCTCTGCACTCAGTGCAGAGTCAGCTTGAGATTCTCTCTCTCCCTGTCCCCCTTTCCCACTTGCTCTTGCTCTCTCAATAAAATAAATACATCTTAAAAAAAAAAAAAAAGAAAAATGCAATTGATTTTTTGTTTGCTGATTGAATTAGCTTATCCTAACCGGTATTTTGTGGTTTCTTTAGTATCTATAAATAGGGATAATTTTACCTCTTTGATTATAATTTGTATGTTTATTATTATTTGTTTTTTGTGCCTAATTGATCTGGCTAGAATTTTCAGTACAGTGTTGAATAGAAGTGGTGATACGTGGGCATCCTTGTCTTGTTCACGATTTTAGGGGAAAGCTTTTCGTCTTTACCATTGAATATGCTGTTAGCTGTTATGCTATTTTTTTATTAGCATTACATTGTATTCCATTTTCCTTCATTTGAGATACACACTGCAAATAAATAGAAAAGTTCAGAGATTTGTAAAACAAATACCCATTGTAGACTTTCTTCTTGAACCTAGAAAGAATTTTGGAAAAACTGTCATTAGATCATTTAAGTTCACTACTGCCATGCCATTTTGACAAAAGTTGCCATGGACATGAATCAGATAACCACTAAAATTATTTTTAAATTGATTTGCTCAAATTTCCAGTTTATTTTGTCCTATCTGAGACTTGGTCAAGGCGAGTTTGATACCCATAATAGGACAATTCAGAGAAACTGGCAGTTTTGTAGAAATCTCTTGAGCCACATAGAATTACAGAACTAGAAGCAAATTCCAGTCTTGAGCTCTCTTCCAGAACAGAGTAGGAGTTGGGATTGTTTAGTTTGCAAAAGAGAAATAGGATCACTATGAGACATAAAATATTTGTACTCTGAGATAATGAGTCTTTCTTTAAATTTAGGCTACTCGTGTCAGAGAATGGTTTTTTTTGTTTTTGTTTTTGTTTTGTTTTGTTTTTGTTTTTGTTTTTAGGTCCAAGGAAGAACTTTCTAGAAATTAAGAGAGATGAACTGGGCTACCTCTCAGAATTGTGTGTGCTCTCACAACTTGGTGAAAGCCAACATGATATGACTCAACCAGAAATGCTGCAGAATATTATGCAAAGGCATTAAGGTGCCCCCACATCTGATATTCTGCCATTCTACATAAAAGCCCTGGGGATAAGGAACTTAAGAATTCCTGTCTTAATACAGTAGAGACCAAGCGTACACGATGAAAAACACATGCTACTTTCCTCAGTCAGCAATGACGACTTGCTGCAGAAGAGAGAATCTGTAGGTGATAATCCCCTGTGAGAATGCTGACACACACACACACACACACACACACACACACACACACACACACACGAAGACACCAGATGCCAGTAGGATGAAAAGAGGAGACAGAGCTCACTTCTAAACTGTGAGAGGAGGGGAAAAAAGAAAGAAGACAAGACACAGAAATAGATTCAAAGTCTAGTTGTAAAGGGTGTTTTTTTCCCCCCCACATGTGGAATAAATCACCAAGAGCAGGAATGGGCCCTTTTTGTTTCATTTTTATGAGAAAACTTACTTGTGTTAGATAAGTTATGAGAAAACTAAGATAGTATTTCATGCAGTTTTTCTAAAATTCTTTCTAGGTACAAGAAGAAAATCTAGTGGGTATTTGTTTTACAACATCTCTCCTATTTGGGGATCTCTTAGGGTCTTCCAAAAATCATTTTCTGAGTAGTTATGAAGAGTTGACGGCAACATAACATTAATTGTAAGCACTGTAAATATAGGAAACGGGACTAGAGCAACACAAAACCAAAAGTCAGCTTTTAGGCAGTGTCAGAGAAACCACACATCTTGAGGAAGTGAAGCTGCTCAAAATACTGTGTATTTCCTTTTGCTGTCACTACTACCTCTCGTCCTAATCCCTGAGTTCCGAAGGGGGGTGGGGCAGTGGAGAGGGGTGGCTAGTGGTCCTCCCCAACACAGTGGAAATGGCCAGAGCATCTTAGAAGCCAAGAAACTAATAACAGTGTAATTTACATTTAAAAACCTGCCATTTCTCCCAACACCTAATGTGCCAGATGCTTTCACTGGTTATTCTTTGTGAGCTTATATATAGACCGTCTCCCAGTAGATTTAAATAGGTTTCCATGAGATTTGGACTCCAGACATCAGATGTGATGGGTTGGTGCTCTGATGACTTACACATCCCGTAGTTTGTAGGCCCAAGTCAGCTTCTGAGAGACAGACTAGGCTTAGTCTTAGATAAAACTCTGAGTTGGCATGGCGTTTAATAGGTATTGCTCCCTGCTTCCCTGCCTCTGGCTCAGAGTAATTAGTTAGTACTCATTTGTTAATTTAGCAGTTCTTTTTAAGAGCCGAAGCTCTGTCCACTTGCCATCTCCTCTCCATTATCTGCTCCTGTCAGGAGGTGCACCCTCTTAGTATCCTCCAGGCTACTCGTTCTTTAGTTAAGACAACAATCTCTGATCTAGGCTACAGCATTGCTTATGCTTTGGATTAGAACGCCGTATCATCAGCCCATCTCCTGCTGGGAGAAGTCCCTTAGAGACCATACAAAGGACTATTTTTAAGCATCCAACTTTGCTTGTTTGCAGGAGGTCTGCCATGGGAACCCTTAGTCCTGAATTCTAGGAATTGTACCAAGATCTTTTCCATGTTGACTGAGAAATCTGTGCTACTAAGTGCTTATCTCCCCCATGCTTTTTTGTCTGTACTAAGAAACTGTAACTCTCAACTGTCAAAGAATGTATTTCAAATCCCAGTGTTGTCCTCTTGTATTAATACTTTTTCATTTATCTGACTCGCTGTCTTGCAGTGATTTAACATTTCTTTATCCCCTAGGGAAAAGTTAACCATTGGATGCCACCAGCTGGTTGAGATGGAATGTTCCATGCAGCAGTGCAGTGCCTCTGTCTATATGGAGGCCCAAAGCAGGGGATGGTGTGAAGACACGCTCAACTATAGGACCTAAATGCTGATCTGTAACTTCAAAGGAATTGCATTTGTCTTCAAGAACAAGAGTAGCCTTCAGCTTTTTGAGTCAAACCCAAGAGACTTGAAAAAAATGTCTCATTGGTGCAAGAAGGTGGTTGCCTATTGCTGAAAATCTCGTTGCGGTTCTAAAAAGCCTAAATGCATCCATTGTGAGATAAACCATGGACTCAACTCATTGGAGTTATCAGTACTTCCCTACCTCTACTCCTGACACTGAGCCAGTCTGTCTGAAGGAAAGGAGAGCCATCTTTTTAATCATCTTAGGGCAGGAGCCACTTTGGCATCTGTGGACGGCCAGGGGACAGGGGATTCCCATCTCTCTCAACCCTAAGCATGGGTCCATGACCAGAGGCATTTCCAAACCTCAAGAAAGAATTAGGACACGGCCATGCTCACCCTGCCACACAATGAAATCTTACCCTGGGCTGTTTTATGAACAAATTGTCTTCCCTATAGACCAAATGAACGTAACACATGTCCCTTCCACTTCCGCTAAGGTAATGTAAGTAGAATTTTTACTTCAGCTTGTACTTGCTATATAGTTTCTTCTCTTCTTCCCTGGGTTTGTCACTTTTCAGTGCATTTCTAATGGGAAGAACAGGGGAGACCTCTTTACTGATTTTTCCCTTAAATGTGAAGGAGCATGGATTTATGGGAGTAGGTGGCAGGGAATTCATATTTGCCTCTAGCTAAACCAAGTGTTTAATTGACTTCTTAGTTATAGAGTAAGCTGGAAATCCTTGTGTACTAGAGTATATTATGCTTTTGTTAATACATTAGATTAAATCTAATTTGCTATTCTATGATGTTAATTTATTTTTTACAAAACAATAAATTTTATTTTTAGTAAGATTTTGCTTTTTCATTTTACTTCCAAATTGTGTTTCTGAACTGTGACAAGGTATGATGATAAAAGCAACCCTCTCCAGTAAAAGAGAATCTACCCAATGTGCTTGTGGTCAGTCTCTGCAGGACCCACTGAGCTGTATGTTTGCATCGGAAGCCGCACCCCTACCTGGGGCTCCAATGACATTAGGGATAGGGATAGGAGCCATGTGGGAGAAGCTTCCAAAGGATCTCCGTTCTCTGCAAAAAACATCCCCTCCACCCTGAAGTTTTTTCAGATCTTTATCCCTCAGCTGCTTCTGGTGGTGGTTCCTGGGTTTTGGTTCTGCTGTTGCCTCCCTCTCCTTTTTCCCTCTTATCTTTTTAACATAGGTTGTGATTTTTAGGAAATTTCTCTCCTGCACACTTTCACATGTGCATATATTTTATCTTAGTTTATGTATCTTTTCCTTTGTACAGTAATTTGTCAATTATTTCAACCTCAAAATTTTTAAAAATTTTACTGATATGTGAAGATGTTTTCCTCTGACTTCCTAGTCTTTTTGCTGTTCTTTTTAAACATTCTTTTAAACATGTTTAGGCTTTGTTTCTTTGAAATGTCAGGTTTCTTTGTTGCCTTTTTTTTCTAATTGTAACCGTTTTTTTTTTTTTTTAATCTAATCTTAATTTTATACTTTAACTGTTACACTGTACTTTTCTGTTATACGCTAGTATAATGCAGTTTAGGGTACCCTCTCCCTTCCTCTTTTTCTGGATCCCTCCTCTGGATTGAGATAACTCAGTTGACCTAAGGATCATAAACTCTACTTTGCAAAACACACGTTTGTTTTGGTGGAAGATCCTTGGGAGAGGAACTTCAGTTCTAAAATCTCCATTCTTCATTATGTATGCCTGTTGTATTTTGGGTAGAAGCCATCCTGAGCATGCCAGTAGGGACAGATGAGGGAAGTCACACAGGGGAAGGGCTTTCTACATAATGCCCTTGGCCTTGCCTTAGTGAGGAGTCCGTAATAACTTCACGAGGGACGTCCATGAGGATTATCCCAGCAAAGGTTCTGGCACCATTTTCCACTAGCCTTTTCCAGTTTACTTTTACCAAAGATAATGCACTTCCTGAGAAGATTAGGATCCTTTGGGTGTAGCAACCCCAGCAATTCCAGCATTCTGGGCCAAAGGAACGCTGGTGTAAGAATTGGGGTTTCGTGCCCTACTGGGATTTTGTTAGTCCCTGTAGTGGGCAATTTGGGACTGCACAGATCAGAACCTCACAGATGGTCAACTTCAGTTTCCTGTTATGGTCTTTGCCTGTCACCTGAAGGACAAACCTGAAGCTTGTTTCATCTTTTGACCATCACCTTCAGGGAGAACGGAAATCTTTTCACTCTCTCAGGGTGGACCCATTTCTCTAGATGGGTGTCTTGATCTACCTCGGATCAGTTTGTTCGTACTTTCCGACAACTCCCCGTAGCCCACCCATCTCCTGGAGCCCTTTTCAAACATCCTTTCTTATCCCATGAGTCAGGATGAATTTCTCTTTTCTTTTTAAGAGGGAACATATCTCACTGTTGAGAAATCAAATACATCTTCCACTCTCAGCAAGTGATGCCACGCAAAGCCCTTTTCTGGTTTAGACTGAATTGACAGGCCAGTCTCCCAGTTATGGTTCTGTGGCTATTTTACCAATAAAACCCACTCCAGTGAAAACACCACTCTGAACTTGAACAATTACCAGCTATGACACTAGAAGGTGAGGTGGCTCAGTGCCCCTAACTACAAACTTGATGTCAACGTGTTTTTCTTTTAGTTCTAATCTTTCCTTAGCTTTTGCAATTTTACTGTAGTCTGATGGTTATGGGTTAAACTACATTAGCTCGGTATATAATCCTTGCAAGGCCAGTGGGAATCAATGGTTCCCTGCTGGGATTTCCAGCAAGGTAAAATAAGGCTGTTTCCTAGTCCCCCCCCTTTTTTTTTTTTTAGATTTTATTTATTTATTTGACAGAGAGAGATCACAAGCAGGCAGAGAAGCAGGCAGAGAGAGAGGAGGAAACAGGCTCCCCGCCGAGCAGAGAGCCCGACGCGGGGCTCGATCCCAGGACCCCGAGATCATGACCCGAGCCGAAGGCAGCGGCCCAACCCACTGAGCCACCCAGGCGCCCCCCTAGTCCCCCTTTTAAAGCCTTTTTTTCCTTTAAAGGTTTGATACCTTTTGGGGGGCACCTGGGTGGCTCAACTGATTCAGCAACTAACTCTTGGTTTCAGTTCAGGTGGGGATTTCAGGGTCCTGGTATTGAGCCCCACATTGGGCACCATGCTCAGCAGAGCCTGCTTGTCCCTCTACCTCTACTCCTCCTCCTGCACACTAAGAAAAAAAGATTTTTTTTTTAAAAGGTTTGGTGCCCCTTTGGTTAAACTAGTTTTGAGTTTTGCCAAAACACAATTGCATCATCACCAGCATGATTAAAATATGAATTCCACTGCTCCACAAGACTTCATCCTTTTAATTCCCAAGTAGTATTTCATTGCATGGATGCACCAAATTATCCATTCAGCAGTAGGAAGGCTATTTGAGTTGGTGACTGAATAAAGCCGCTATACTCACACACAGGTTTGGGAGTGAACAGGTTCTCATTTCACTTGGGTCAATACCTAGGTAAGTGATTACTGTGTCATAGGGTATTTGGTCGGAAACTGCCAGTTTTCCAAAGTGACCTTCCAATTTTGATTCCTCCAGCAATTTGAGTTCTATTGATCTGCAACCCAGCCAGAATTTGATACTGTTTTAACAGGTGTGTATGTAATTTTACTCTCTACATTTCCCCAGTTTATGACAGTGAGTGTCTTTTCATGTGCTTATTGGAATCCATTTATTTGGTAAAGTGTCTTGTTTAAATCTTTTCCCCATTTACTTTTTGTTGTTGAGTTCTGGGTACCAGAACATTTTCTTTCAAGCCTGGACCTTTAAAGACTCAGTACCACCTGTTTGAGACAAAACACTTGCTTAAGCAATCAATTTTATCAATTCAATTTTATCAGTTTTATCAATTGTAAGATCTTCAATTTTATCAATTATAAGATCTAGAGATCTTTTGATTTGGGAGTAGCCTTAACGGATAGCTGGCCCTGCTAATTACTGAACTAGTTACATTTGGTAGGTGCCTTTCAACCTTTTCATCTGGCAGTTCTTACTAACTTGCTGTATATTTCATTCAGCTCATCTTGTGTCATCCCTCATTTCTTTCTTTCATCTAAGTTGGGTACTGTGTGTGCCTTTTTTCCAAGCTAAAATTACTCCCTTTGCTCACTTTGAGCAAATGTGTAGCCATCTATTAAGACGTATACCCTTTTTAGATTCTTAAATTCCCCCCAGGTATCAACCCTATACACACTTAGTAACTGAGCTTTTGCTTCTCGCTCTTATTCAACCCGCAGGAACACATGGAGCTATTAATAGTGAAGCTTCAATATTCTGTTGGCCATTGTGCTAGGACTTGTTGCTCAGTGCATCATTTTACAACTGAGAACATTCTGGTTTCACTATGAAAGAAACCGGTGCTTCAGAGAATTCCTTGTTAACCTAATGATGCTTCCTTCCTATTTCTTGATTTAAAAAAAATGAATAAATGTGACATGTAACACTGTGTTAAGTTTAAGGTATAAAGCTTACTTTGATGCATTTATATGTTGCAACATGACTGCCATGGAGTGATACTTACCACATTACGTAATTATAGCATCACATTATCTATACTCCTCATACTGCACATTAGATCTCAGGTTTATTTATTACTCATTACAGGTCTGTACCGTTAAACACCATCACTCTTCTCCAACCCCCCCGCCCCAATCCTCTGGTAACCACCATTTTACTACATACATTGATGTTTCCTTGCTTTTCCCTTTTTCTTTTCGTTTTTTTTTTTTAAATCACCCAGTTAATACATCTATAGTCATTTAATGAAAGACTCTTCACATCCTTTTTTAGAACCAAGTAGGATACAAATAAATGACTAAAATTTTAAGACAAAATTTTCTGTGATCTCCTGTTCCTCCAAAGGCAACGCTGAAGTTGCAGAAATCTCCTCCAGGGACTCTTTCTCTGTCACTTACTTCAGTTTTAAGAATTTTAAGATCTGGAGAAATCATAGGGTACACACCTAGAGTATTAAGCAAGGATTGTATCACACTTCCAGATCCAGTTTTTTCCTCTAAAATAGAAGGAATTTTTTTTTTTAAAATAACATATAATGTATTATTTGTTTCAGGGGTACAGGTCTGTGAATCAACAGTCTTACACAGTTCACAGCGCTCTAAAAGATAAGGAATTCTAAAACATGTTGAAAGGGAAAGCACGGAAGACGTACTAGAGGCCCCAAATCAAAACCCTACCTTGAACGTCACAATAAAATTCATGTGTGGGTATAACAAGTTATTAATTCAAGCAGGTATTCTATAGTTTTGCTACTGTTTTAGTCATCTAGTATGTTTTAGGCATTCTCACAACTGATCACAGGGTAGTTATTACCAATGTTCTTTCTACACTACCCCAAAACCCATACTGATGGTAAAAACATTTTTTTAATTATGTTGAGGCTATGCCGTATTTTCTCCTTCCCTCAAGAAAAACATGTACCTTTTAGATGGAAATTAATATAAACAAATGGTCATTGAGCACTTTCCCTCCCCTTTATGGGGAGCTTCTAACATACTTAAAAAACATACTTTTAACCACCAAACTACCTGTTTGGCATCAATAATATAGAAAAACTCTGACCCAGAGTATTCATACCTATTATTTGCTTAATGCTACTTAGGAATTAGGAAGTAATTTCAAATATTTCACTGCTGAATCCCCCAACTAAGATTTTATTTCCTTGGGCTAAACAGAACATATACAGATCCATTTAAAAAAATAGTCATCCTATGAGGCAAAATCAAATCTGCCTACCTACTTTTAATCCAGAACCAAACCAGCAATAAATAAAAAAGTCACTGACTACAGAGCCACCAGGTTCTCGATGGTGCTTCGTGGAGTAAATGAAAGAAGGTGTCTAAGTACCAGTGGAACAATTTTCTTTCTAACCCAAGTTTGCCACTGGTCGTCATCTTGTCCTAGTTGGCTCATTAGATTCTTACGTGTTTGTCTTCTCTGAGAAAAAAATCTTACCATCAGTTCTATTTCAGACATGGCAGGTGACGGTTTTCCCAAATACCTTAAGCTCATCATTACTGGGGAAAAAAACTGTCCCCCAAACTTTTAAGTTACGAATGAGTACACAAACAACATTTGGATATTAATTCCATGGTGCAAGGATTTCCTGCTAAGTACCTTTAATACGTTTGCATTGGCAGCAAGCATTAGGATGTGCTAATTTTGGCACCATAAGTTATATGTGCAGCACTACACATTCCATAAAGTCACCCCAACCAGTATTTATCCATATGAAGAGAAAAACTGAGCAAAAACATAGTTCTGATAAAGGCTGCATTCATAAACCCAATACAGTTTTAATTTTTTTCACAATCGAGGGTGCTATTTAGGATTGTTAATGATAAATAAAGACAGGAATTATTTAGAAAATAAAGTACTTCACCATTCTTTACTGTTATATATTAAGTGTCTTGCTATATAAAATATACCCTCAAGAAGTCAGAATATTTGAAATCAGTGTTTCAAATAAAAATCACAGCTACGTTACTGTTCAAATAAACTATTGGTACTGCAGTCTCCAAAAAAAAAAAAAAAAAAAAAAAAAAAAAAAAAAAGTAGCTGAGGCAAAAGCTTCGAAGTTTGCACTGTGGGCGTAGAACAGAAACACCCTACTCTGCATCCTTTGAGACCGCAACTCTGCTTCGCTATTTGAATCCGCCCTATCGTCAATAGGTAAAGCACTGTGCTGAGAATATAAAAAGTTGAGTTATAAAAAGGCAATCATAAAAGATTAAGTCTTGGTAGGCATGTCCGCTTTCTTTTAATAAAAACAAAAATAGTCATTGTCATCTAGTTAAAGAAGTCTCTTTTGTATAGAGTGTTCCAGTTATTGAAAAAGGGCCCTTAAAAAAACCCAACTGTCTAGATCTTAAACCCTACCCCCTTGCCCCATTATACATGTTTGAGGGAAGAGTCATTTAATGTGCAAATTGGCAAAAACAAATGTGGAGGAGGGGACTTCTTGAAATGACATGCCTGATCAAGTCTTCGTTTATTCTTTTACAATATTAACTTCCAAAAAGTAAAATAACCAAAGTAGTCCTAAAAATACACAAAACAGACCTTCATCTTTGCATTCCTTTCCCAATAAACACAAAATGTACAGCATGTTTAATATGCAATATGCAAAAGCTTTGTGTTGCTGTTAGCAACATCTATTACCCACCCACCCTCCTTATTCACAAGTGTACCTCTACTAAACACAATTACATCACTAAGCCTGTTAGTTTGAAAGGGTCTTAAATTTGTTAAAACTGGAAAATCTTCGTATAGGGGCTCCACTCATTTGACTCAAGGTTATAGACTTCCACCGTATTCAGAAATTCATTGCCATCAAATCCTCCCACTGCATAAATGGTGTTCCCTACAGTTGCAATCCCAGCGTTGCTCCTTGGTGAAGTCATGCTTCGCATCATCTTCCATTCATTTCTCGTTGGGTCGTACATCTCTACACAACTGATGGCATGAGAACCATCAAAGCCACCACCTACAAACAATTTCCCTAAAAGAGAAAGGAAACAAGGTAAATCTAAAGAGAATAAGAAAAAAAAAAACCTACTTATTTTTTGCTAAAATCAGTGGTTCTTAGTAGAAATGCCTGCTCATTGTGTAGAAAGTACTCATTAACTGCCTCGCTAATGTGGCAAACGCTCTCTAGGAGCTGTGGATACAAATGCAACAAAATTGATAAAAACCCATTCACACCTGGAACTCGGGTAATTTAAAAGGAGAGGGGTAGCATCTAACTGAAGTTAATTCCCATAATTCTTTGTGGTAGCTACTATTATTGCCATTTCACAGATGAAATGAGGCACAAAGAAGGTGGACAATTCACCTAAAAATGCAGCTAAGTAGTGGCAAGCCACAGTAGTTTTGTGCACTGGAAATTCTGTATTACTCTAGTGCCTAAGAACTGAGATTCAAAAGTTCTTTTGAATCTCAGAAAAGCAGGTTTCAGATAACATTTTCTTGAGCTTTCCAACTATATAAAATTACTTTGGCACAAAAACTTCTTGGAAACAGACCAGAAGTTATCACTTATTTTCAAATATATATGCAGAACAGTTAGTAAGTTATTTTCAAACAGATAAAATGTTAGCATTAAATACTGTATAACTTTAAAAAAATCGTTATTTTCTCATCTGTCACTTAACCTATCTGCATCTATATATTTATATAAGAACTGACAAGGCTGGGGGTGGGGTGCCCTGCAGGCTATGGTCCAGTAGGCTACTTGCTGGCATGTCTACACATCTATGCTTTCAGCAGTTGAGCCACAAGCTTAACTAAGATTCTGCTTTATTCCCAAGAAAAGGCTGACTAAACTCTTAATTACATAAACATGTAACTCAATAAAATGGATGTGAAAAGAAAGCTATTTCTATATAAAACCAAGTTTAATGCTTTCAAAAGACTTGTTAAAATGGTCTTAAGTATTGCTTCCATTTAGGTAGGGAGTAGACAATTAGAAAAGACTAATCTAGATGATCGGTACTTATTTTTGCTTTGCAGATCAAGTTCTTTGAATTCTTGCTCTAAAGGAACAAACTCCAAGATGATATACTTTGCATATGGTTTATGGAAGGAAAGGACTTAGAACTTCATTCAGTGAACTCATCAAAAGATGATAGTGTGTTGATATATTTATATTATTATTTTAAGAATGGAGTCTCTATTAGAAAAGACTTCTAAGAAACAAACCAACAATCCCTATCGCATCGGCAAAGATGGCTGCTTCTGAGTTCTAATTATACAAGTATATAGTCATCACTGACATTCATTCAGAATTTTATAAGAAACTGTTGTCACTCCCTATTCCTCACTTTTCCAAATCCCAACACTCACCATCAAGAACAGCTACGCCAGCTCCTCGCCTAGCCACATTCATGGGTGCAATTAAAGTCCAGGTGTTATTTTCAGGATTGTAACGTTCTACTGTGTTCAGGCAATTCCAAGACTCTGCACCTCCAATTATGTACAAAAACCCACCAAGCTCACAGACTGCAGCCTGGTGTCTACCTAAAAAATCAAGTTGAGCCAAAATTATTATTTTATCTCCCCGAACTGTAAGTTGTACACTACATATACTGTTGATTCAGAACACACACACACACACACACACACACACACACACACACACCCAAAAAACAAAAAACAGGACACACAAAAAATCAACTCACGAATGTTAAGAGGAGCACAGCTTGTCCATGACTTTGTTACAGGATCAAATACATCACAGTTTTTCAGTCCTTTTTGACCATATGGATCAGAGCCACCAACGATGTATAATTTCCCATTCAGAGCACATACTCCTATGCGAATATAAAATAAGGTTATATATTGGTAATTTAATTATCATATTTAAATACTGAATATCCCAGAAGAGTAATTTTACCTGCATTACAACGGTTAGTTCTCAATTCTGGAACAGGAGTCCAGTCATCTATGCTTGGATCATACATCTCTCCACAGCTCAGGTCATCTGAGTGGCCATTCGATCCACCTACCACATAGAGTTGGCCCTGCATCAAAAGTAAGAGATTAGAATTTCTGCCATTCTGAAGTATGAGGAACAGCTAAATACGGATTACTTCTTCTTGCAACACAGTGCACTTACCATAAGTACAGCCATTTGAAATCGAGCCCTTGGTGTTCTCATGGGAGCAAGAAAGGACCAGTGATCTGTATGTGGATCATAGCATTCGACTGTTCGAAGACACTCCTCTCTGTTATAGCCACCTGGTAAAAGAATCATCAAGATGTATGTGTAAGATATTAAACTGGACCAGAGTTCCTGGCCTAGAAGGATTTAAGTAATCTGCACAACGAGAAAAGGAATTTTATCCATAAACTCAGTGAGGCCCCATTAGTTGACGTTTTAACAACATTTATCAGTATGACTAAATTGCTTAGTCTTGCTTTCAAAATAAGGACAATAATTCAGCTACGTTATAGTTTAAGAATTAGAAACAGACATTTATTTAAAGGTTAGACAACACGAAAGTATTTACTTTTTACTTCTTGGTCTTTTCAAAATGTGGGAAAGCAGAATGCCAAGGAAGAAGGCTTGCGTTAAACCCTATCTTCCAAAGTTCACATGTCACAGGCAAGCACAAATGTCCATTTAAGAGGCTTAGCCAGTTGAAAGTTTTCAGTAAGAAAACACTCATCCTTCTGTTCTTACCTGCTGCTATCAGCTTGCCGTTCATCTCTGCTGTCCCCAGGCCAGACCGTGCATACTGCATGGGAGACATGGGCTTTTCTATTAGCTCATCTGGTTGCATCTCAAAGCTTAAACTTTTAATTAGTTTTGGAGTACTCGTTGGTGAGCTCTGTGGGCTGTTTCGCCCATGAAGGAAAATTACACAGAATATACCATCCAGCACAGCCAGGCACAAGTAAGTGTTATCTGTAAGCACAAAAGTTCTATGTTTAAGATGCAGTTATTGTTACTTTTGGTCTCCTGTGTGATCCTGAATTGGACTCCAGATTCCAGCATAGAATGATCTGCTATTGTTTTCCAAATTTAGTTGCTTCTGAGTTTTTTCTCTACAGTGACTTTCAAAGTTATTAAATGGTTCCGCTCAACACTCCTTCTTTAAAAATAAGTACTTCAAAGACAATCTGACAAGCGTAATACACTTACTTGAAGTCTTTTCCGAAGCAACGATTTTCCATTCATGCTTAGGGCTTTGTACTGTAGCATTTGGAGAAGAGAGACATCCAGTGGAACTGCTACTTATCGGCTTATGGCCATTCTCACGTGGTGGCTTTTTCTGCAAAATCAAAAGGTAGCTACAGAAACCTAGCCAAAGACCATACCTGGTGTACCTTTGTTCCTGAGCTATTCCACAACACTGAAAAAAATGTGTCTTTCACCTATGTATGACGTTTATAGCATACCTAAATTTAAGACAAACCAACACTTTCCAATTGACAAATTACTGGCATACGTCCATCTCCACTTGTAATGAAACAACTATAACTATACAAATAGCCTGGCCAGGAAAAGCTCAATTTAAGAAATTTAAAAAACACTGTAGATCAAATATCAGAATACTTCAGTGGGGGGTGGGGGAGACGGGAAGGAACCCCCCTTCATAATCTACATAAGCTCACATACTCTTTATACTAAGTGTAGAATCATCTTTCAAAAGAGGTTATTAATTTAAAAGGGTATGAATTATCTGAAATAATACATTTAACCCACTGTCTCCAAGAAATTATCGAATGTAATTATATCATATGAACTCCGATATCCTTCATACAATGCCAGCAAAAAAGTGAGCAGAAATTTATCCAATCCAGTCCCTCTGAGAAGTACTTCTCAGGACCACCTTACAGATATTAGAGTGCTTTTCTAGACAAATCAAACTACATCAAAACACAGAAATAAAAAACAGAAACCAGAAATGGAACAATACTACTAAAAGAACCAAACATTCACCAAAGTAGAATACTTTTTCAGGAACACTAATGGGCAAAGCTACAAATTTTCCCAAATAACTTTAAGAGAATCACATTGTGTTCTTGTGTATGAGTTCCCTTTGATGGTTTTCTTCCAATAACATTAGCCCTTGACTTTTAAAGGATATGATCATATGGAATTAGAGGAGTCAAAGACCCCCTAGGCAGAACTACCAAATAAACAGGTACCACCCTCAGTACCTGATCAAGTCTGCTTATCCACTTACTTTGGTCCCCAGGGCCAGAGCCACATGGGTAGGTAAGATTTACAGTAGAAATTTGTTTCTTGTGGAAGCAACAAAGCCAAGTAACAACTCGGAGAGGAAAAGATTTTGGTAGCTACTTGAAGCCGTGAAGTTTGGTCTGGGCCATTCAACAATTGTGGTTACAGCGTATGTAGGCTATTTTGAGAACAGGTAGAGCATGTACTAGGTTAACGGTTAACATTAAGTTCTACTTAGACATTTACTATATACCTAGGTATTATTAGGAACTTTATTCACATCATCTCTTTTGATCCAGTTACAGCCAGTACTGCCAATCCATTTTATAGGTAACGATACTCAGAGAAGATATGCATTGCCTAATGCAATACAACTAAAAGAAAGATTAGAAATTCTGAGTTTAAAGCCACTCTTTTTATACTATGCCAGACTTGTGTCTTCTGCTACTAGAATTACAAGGTACATAAAACCCCATCCCAACCTGGGGGAAGAAGGGATCCAAAGTATCACAAATTGATAATGCTTACATTAAGAGCTTTTATCGCAGTAAGAAAACTGTTCTAATGTATGGACTATAATTGAGAAAAAAAAATCAATGTAAAAGAAAAGCAGGGTAACAGCAAAGACTTTTTTTTTTTTTTTTTAAACAAGTTATACAGAAGTGCTGGATAACTCCTCTATATTCCTTCTGGAACATTTCCAAACCCATCCTTCCCTCTCCTTTATCTTCAAACTTTCCTGTATCAACTCTCACCCAGCCACCCACTGGCTCTGCTTTCTTTGCCTCTGGCTCACCAGAGGGTTATCTCTGGTGGCGGTTTCTTTTTCAACCATTATTACTTCTCAAGCTAATGGATTCCTGACCTTAATCTTTGGAACTTATATCCACTAAAGATTACGAAGTGGCCTCCCACAATGAATGCAGAAGAGATGGTATCTATAACCTTCTTTTACATGACCTCCCAAAGAATGATTTGACTCAATTAATAACTTATTGTCCTCCTCCAAAATTATCTCCACCTATGTTAGCTAGCTTTTGATTCTAATTTCTTCCTTCCTTTCTAATGGCTTCTTGTCAAACTTTTTTCCTATTCCTCAAGCCTAATGTGTCACCTCATCCTGTTTAACTTCATGATCTTTATATCCAGGGAACCACCTTCTAATGAGTCACATATGTCAGAATTCCGTTTTCTCAAATTCTTCCTTTTCCTTTGCTTAATTTTGCTTATTTTTGCTTAATTTTCTTATTCTAAATGATCACTAAGGACTCACTCAACCTTTGAAACTATAAATGTCTAGAGTCCACTCTTCCTCCTCCATGCCCTTGAATCAAGCCCTTGTCATTTTTTTTAAAATGACTTCTTACAATAGGCTGTAAATTGGTCTTACAAGCTTTACCCCCTGTGCTTGGGTCGTAAAAATTGAAGGGTTTAATGCCATCCTTTACAGGAGTAAGAAAAACAAAAGGAAATAAACCACAGATCAGCTGGAGTCCCATGACCTAGAGACTGCCCATCTGATAGTTAGCCACATGTCTAAAATATGACTAATGTATAGATTTTTGCTGTATAGAAGTACAGTAATTTAACCTATCCCCCTATGTAACCGACATACCTCTCTTTATATGCTATGCAAACTCTTCTCAATCCTAGGGCTGCTCAAATGTTGCCGCCTCTGTAAAATTCCCCTAGTTTCTCTCCTGCTCTACCATGCCCTCCCCTGTATGCCTTTCGTAGATAACTCTTGTTAAGAGTGTACCGTTTCAGTCTACTGCTGTAAGGTCCTACAACCAGAAACTATCCCTCATACACGTTAACATCATGGCCTGCCACTTATCGGGCACGCAAACTTTAATTGTTGAAGGTATAACTTTAAAAAAAAAATACATCTTTAGAGTCACGAGGAAAAATACTCTAAATGTTCAAAATGCACAACTACAAATAAAGTTCTCAACTAACTCACACCCTGACACTTTTGTGAAAATAAAGATATTTGGTGACTACTGCCACAGAATACTCATGTTTTATTTCACTTTCTATTAAAGAAAACCATTCCTTAAAACTGGGTTAACTCAGCCTATTTTACCGTTAATGCCTCACAAATACAACGTTGAGTTGAAGGCCAAAAAAAAAGAATGCATACTACATGACCATTCATGTCCACTCTAAACACAGGCAAAGTAGTCTGTTGTTTCAGAAGTTAGAATAATGGTTTTGTCTGGGGGGTTGTGAAGGGAGGTGACTGGGAAGGGATAAGAGGTTTCCAGGAAGCAGAAATCTCTTCTTGACCCAAGTAGTGTTTAAATTAGTGGGTTCACTATTTGACATTTATGATTTGTGTACTTTAAATTATTTGTCTCCAGACTAAAAAAGTTTATACCTAAGATTTAAAAAAAAAAAAAAAAAAAAAACCAATAAACGGAACAGAACAAAACAAAAAAAAACCCCAGGGTCTAACAACACTCATTCCTGTTGCAAACTATTTTTTTGTAACCTAACCCAAAAAGTCAATTTCTACTTTGTTTCATCTTATCGGCCTTTCTTACTACCTGTAAATCCTATTTCATTGAGAAAAAAATCTAAATGTGTTGAATTTATTTCTTTTTATGTGCCAAAAACAGTAGTAACTGTTAAGAAAGATAGGCTTGTTTTGTCCCAAAAATGTTTCTGTTCAGTTATACCAAGGAAATTCTTCCACTTTCCTTCATTAAAGGAAAATTTCAGTATGCTACAAAATGCTCTAATCACATTTTAACCTGAGGTTACCTCAGATGTGCAATGTGTACCTGCACAAACTGAATGTGGTCATCATCACTGCCAAACACCTCAGCCTGTCCATCTAGTAGGTTCCCATCAAGCAGCTTGTGATCAGCTGAGTAGTACAAGGTTTGAACCTGCAAAACAGCAACAGAACACCCATGTGGCTACCGTCTCCATGGCTACTCCACTAGTATGCAGCTCACACAAACGCCTCAAGGTAACCTCCAGTGTGCTTCCTGAACTTGACATCTTGCTCTGGCAGGATCCCGAAGTAAAGAAAATACAGGTCATGGTTGTAAAAATTTAAAAAACAAAAATCAAATACAGATTTGATTCTTCTAATACTGGCCGAAGAGTCCTTGGCTTGATTGGCTTGAAAGAAATCTTCATTTTCTCATAGCTTCTATTATATAGCAGTAAGAAAAAAAGCACTAGTACAATATATATAGGCTCTTAAAGAATATACATATTTACAATAAAATATGGAATATGGTTTACACCTTTGAAGTGGTCTGATTTGCATTAACATATTTCTGTCCTGCAGGCAATTTCAAGAAAAACAGATAAAAAGCAAATGCAAAATGCAAACAAGCTGTAGAGACAGAGATAACTCCCTCAGCAGATGCAAACACATGGTTAATGCAGCTGATTTTCAAGTGGGAAAGGATATAAAACTTAGGGATCACCTGTTAGCCTTCTTAGAACATAATGATAACAGCATGTTTCAAGGCCTAACAGATCTGGTAAGCCTTTAGTGAGTCTGAAAGGCTTAAGTGGAATGACAGATGCAGGGCCACTCTACTGCTCCGTTGGCATATGTTTAATTCCCACAATTTCTCCATCAAATCTTTCTTGTGTTATTTTTAAAAAGTAGCCCAAGGTAAGTGAGTGACTGTATGTATGAACAACACCATTGAAAAACACAAAGCTTTAAAGAGAGAATCCTGTAAAGGAGTAAACACCATTAAATCATCATCGCTCTCTGCCCACAGCGGATTTTTCTTAGGAGAACTGGGGCAGGACTGCTGCTTCTTTACGTGTCAATACACTGGAGGTTTCTTCTTGTTTCTTCAGTCTTGGGTATCCTAGTTTTGTTAATAAACCTATGGGGAGATAAATCAATGGGGAGGAACAACCATTAGAAGCTTTTACCTACTTTCAAATTTAAAGCAAAAACCTGTGAAGAAAAATTAAGAATCTACAGAAAATTTCAGTATCACCTCCCATTTCTAAAGCAAATTACATGCTACTTTAAAGGAAGTTAACAGCACATAATAAGCAAAGAAAGAAAAGCAGAAGACCAAACTGAACGGTTCATTCAGCTCACCTGGACACCCCCCCTGTTTCTCAGCTTAGGGGTACCTATAGCAAAATTTAAATTCTTTAGGGTGATGGTTATAAAATAAAAGTGAAAGGGAATCCTTCATGTTATAGCAAAATAATTTTTAAGAACTGCTGAAACCCATTTACTTTAAAACTAACCTCTTCCATCAGCTCTTCCAGACTGTCTCCATTCTCCCAGATGCTACGCTGCACCCAGTTGATTACCTTTGTGTACAATTTGCCATTGCTGGGCAAGCAGACATTATCTTCAAGCATTACCTCCAACTAGAATTAGGAAAAAACAGTGACACATAGATCAGTGTTGAGCCTGTAATTCTCAGCTTACGGCTCAATTTCATAAAAATGCTCATAGATGCCCAATCACATTCCACATTTACTCTAATTTATAAGAAAATCAGTAGCCAGGGTGCCTGGGTGGCTCAGTGGGTTAAAGCCTCTGTCTTCGACTCAGGTCAAGATCCCAGCGTCCTGGGATCGAGCCCCACATCGGGCGCTCTGCTCTGCGGGAAGCCTGCTTCCCTTCCTCTCTCTCTGCCTGCCTCTCTGCCTACTTGTGATCTCTGTCTGTCAAATAAATAAAATCTTAAAAAAAAAAAAGAAGAATGAAAGAAAGAAAATCAGTAGCCAAAAAAATACACAAACAGGTAGGCAGAAAACTGTTACACTGCCAAAAGTAAAAGTATCATTTGAATGTACTATTTTTTTCTAACCATTACTTACATGCTTGAAACGTGGACAAAGATTCCCTGCCTGGAACTAAGTAGTATACATCTCTTTATAGATTTTTACTCACCTTTAGCCGTGGAAGTTTAAGAAACTCCTCCTCTTCTGAAATTTGTAACAAATGCTCCTGAATATAAGCATCAACCTTATTCAACAAACGGGAGTCTCCCATACAACTTGCAAAATTTCGGTAGGAGATGCAGCTGGTAACATCCATTCTAGATAGCAAATAATCACCACAAACCTTGGAAAAGAAATGCACAAGTACCAATACTTACATATATTTTACTTGATGAATATTTAATACTCAGTGTGTAAGCATTACGTGAAGATAGAAAGATGAATTAAGAATCACTGCCCTAATCAAACAACTTTAACATTGGGAAGAACATATGTATACAAACAATAAACATCAAAGAATGGTATACAAATGTCTAAGTTGTTTAAGGAAAGATGCCACAAACTGAAATGCTGTGATAATGCATACGAAATGTTCAAATAAATTATTTCCAACTAGAATAATTAGAAAAGACTTCATTATGAAGGCAGAATCTGAACTGGGTTCTACACGAGAGATGCTGCTGAATGCAGAATAGAGGAAGCAGGGACCATGATCTGAGCTGAAGACAGACACTTTACCAACTGAGCCACCCAGACACCACAAGACTTAAAGCCCTTTACCCTATGAATTATTAAGCAGTTCTCAATGGCGTTAAATTCTAGAAGGAGTCCTTTTAAAGAGGAACTCCAGCGTGTAGAACAACAAATAAACTGAGAATATAAGCTATATGATTAACTCTTGAGGAAAAACAGGTATTTTACACCCTGCTATCAGTGACTGATACAGCTACCCAGCCGAGAAGACTACTGGAAGAGCAAGGGTTTAGCGCAAATTATCTGAGAGAAGTATGACCCTCTATATAACTATAACTAAATGGTTAATAAATGGTTAAAATAACATTCAGTTCTCTACGGGAAAAAGGGGGCCATTTCTCAAGTTCTTGAAACTAAGAATGGCTTATGACAAATTATGCCCTCTAACCATAAAAGCAGACTTGCTAGTAATAGTTCTCCTTATATATTAACTTCTCATACTCTACCTGCTTTACTCGGTCCATCTTCAGCTTTTTTGCTGCAGAATAGACATCTTTTACCAATTCTTTATCGGCTTTCAACCTATTAAAAAAAAGTTCTTTATCATTTACGATACTAAGGCCTTAAAACACAGATCCTTAACTGAAATAAATTTAGAGAGACTTGGAATTTCCTGATGACATCCCCTAATTACACAGTTTATAAAGTACTTACTGAGCAGTGTAGGCGTAATTCAGTAAGACTTCAACAGCTTCTGGATTGAGATCATCAAATTTAACATGAGAAATTCCATGAGGATCACTATCACTATTAAAGATTTCAAATAAATAGGGACTGCAGCAAGCCAGGACTGCTCTGTGTGCTAACATCTCGTGGCCACAGACCTGAAATTATGAGGAATTAAAATCAGAAGTACTGTGGACTATGTATTTCTCTAGCTAATTACCACATCAGATTCTTTATCTAATATTTATAAGTAAATCATTGCTTTTTAAAGTTATTTCATGAAATGCCTACCATGAAAAAGAAATTAAGCAAATCTGCTTAATTTACTGCTTTTAGTAATAAAATATCAATTTTTATACCTGAAGTCGAACATCACAGAACTGGCCACTTTTCCTCAGGGCATTTAATTTGGCAACAGAAGACTCAATAAAATTTTCGTCTTCAAACATTAAATATCCGTTGGGAATCATTTTTCCTTATAAATTTGGCTAAAGGGCAGAAAGAAAGCGGAATTATTACACTTGTGAATGAGGAATTTTATAATTATACCTTAAAGAGTAACATAGTACCTTTATTTTCAAAATTCCATCATATCAACACAAAAATGTTATTACACAAAAACACTGTGGAAACACTAGCACTGGATGTCCAAGTTTCTGTACCCCTGTACTCTGGTCCTAAGTCTTTTTGAGCTTTATTACAGAGGTGAGTTATCTCAATGCTTTTGGTCTAGGTTTCCATGCACATTCATTCTGAGGGGGAAAGAAACATCACCCGAGCTTGGCCCAAACCCATACACTGAGTAACCTAAGAAGCCTGCTGTCATTGCTGGACTCCCAAATGAAAGATATATAAGACAAATGTAAATTCTGTTCCCTTTGCAAGATTCAGATATTAGGGATCACTTATCTCCTAAGAATACATGCTAGAAACTTTAAAAAAAAGTTATAAGCCTCTTTTTAAAAATGTCCATTTCACCTTTACTTGTGAAGAATTGACTAATGGCTATACAAAATCCACCATTAAAAGGCAGTAATAGATTTCAGTTTGAGCTGATTTATTTAAATTCAAAATAGTTTACAGGAAGAAAAAAACCAGAAAAGTGGTTTTTTTCCTACACATGATTACTGACGTTCCCTTTAAGAAAATTATGAAAGGCTGTTAGTATACTGGGCATAGTCTTCAGAAAAACAATGTGTCTTAATGTTGCACTGGGCACTGAATATTCACTTACCTACTGAACTGGTGAGAAATGGATTTCTGGGAAGTCTTAGACAATCCAAGGACAAAGGAGTGTTAAAACTCAGCAACTTCCTCAAGGTATGAAGACAGGTGGTTGAAGTGAAGGCAGAGGTGTCTTAAGCTCTAAATGGTGATTCCAAAACTATCAGGCTTGAAATGATGTAATCAAGTCCTTAAAAGCTATAGACATGAATTTCTTCTGTGATAATCATGCATCATAATCTGTAATAATGACAAATATCAGTTACTCAGGATGCTCTAAGACTGTCATTGATCTAAGTGGATTAAATCAAACAAAGTCCTTATCTTTGAGGAATCTTTTTTTTTTTTTAAAGACTTTTATTTATATGTTCGACAGAGAGAGACAGTGAGAGGGAACACAAACACGGGGAGTGGGAGAGGGAGAAGCAGGATTCCTACCCAGCAGGGACCCTGATGCAGGGCTCGATCCCAGGACCCCGATCATGACCTGAGCCAAAGGCAGACGCTTAACGACTGAGCCCCCCATGCGGCCCTCTTGAAGAAATCTTGATGTAAATGGACACAAATACAGAAAATAACGAACACAAATGCAGTTATCATAAACCTTTTTCTTTTAACCAGCAACTATTCAGGTTGCAATCAGATTAAACAAACAAAAAACACCTTCCCTGGAAGACAGGAGCTAATATATATCATTTAAATGAGATATTCAAGCCCAAGACTGGAAAACAAATATAAATACTTGTGAACTCTGAGATTCTTTACTCTTGGATTACAACTAACACACAAACATACAAACATACGATCTGTCCATTTTCACCAGCCAGCAAGCAACCTTTGGGCATCACTCCCAGACACGTATACAATGTTAACAGTCAAATTGGATACACTGTTCCCCAAAATGTGGTCTCCTCTCCCCAGCCTCCGCACCTTTGTTCAAGTTGTTCTCTCTTCTTGGAATACCGTTAATGCAACCTCTGCCAGACGAAGTCTTACCTCCAAAGAGCTCCTGCCAAATCCCCCGAGTTGAGAGAAGTTTCTCCCTATCTTCTACGTTCTGAACACTGTCTGAAAGGCATGTGTAATCTTCCAGCTGGTCTGTTCTGAGCTGGGCTTCTGTGGACCTTCTTATCTTCCTTGATTCAAGGCTCTGGAAAGCAGAGCCTCTGTCTTGCTCATCTTTGTATCCATCCCATCTCCCCACTACCAAAACAACTAGCCTAGAAACTTAAATATGAGTACTTGTTGAAGTGAACTAAATAAACAAAAGGGAAAATACTGATGCCTGTTTTCTATATGGTCCTTGTACTTATATACAGTAATAAACTACCAATGGAATTAATTCTAGTTCAATCCACATCGTGAAAGTAATCATATTCAGTCCTCCTACTTCCATTTCCCCCCTCATTTTCACGTGGCATCAACTGCAAGTGTCAAATTCAGATGGCAATTATTTTTTAATCACCTGAACTGCTATGACACCACTGTCAGTATAATTTAGGAAATGAGAACTAAATACTTTGAAAGATGTGCATACTTTTAAAAAATGGACATCTTAAAATTACCTGGATTTTCCTTCTACATCTATGAAACCCAGAATTCTAACAATTATGTTCAGGTTAATGAATAATCACTTAACCCAGAACCCACTGAAGGCTGGTCCAGCTCCAACTGAACAAACTGTTAAGTTCAACACATGCATACTCTGTAATGGAGCTGGATCCCACATGCCCTAAATGGTTTCTCCATAATGTAAGTTCTACTTCAAGGACATCCCGAGTAATTCTGACTTAGGCTGGGGTTGTGGTCAATGCTTTCCCCTGCAACTAAACTGTATTAAACTAGTATGTAATACTGATTTCCTCTACTCTATAGCTGCATCTAGATTAGTTCAGCTTTTAAGAAATCAGTTCTAACAAATGATTTCCAAGTACCACACAATTCTATGTACACAGAGAGACACACCATCCTAAGGAAACGTTCAGACATTTCAGCCAAGATCTAGCTCAAATTAAGAAAATCTTTGTATATATGATATATACTTGGGGGTGGCCAATCCACAGACATAGTTGGTAACTCTTCACTTCAGTTTCATAAGCTTTTTTTTTTTTAAGATTTTATTTATTTATTTGACAGAGATCACAAGCAGGCTCCCTGCTGAGCAGAGAGCCCAATGTGGGGCTTGATCCCAGGACCCTGTGATCATGACCCGAGCGGAGGCAGAGGCTTTAACCCACTGAGCCACCCAGGCACCCCGTCATAAGCTGCTCTTATAAGAAGGGTAAAGAGGGGGGGAATCCCTCCATGCAAATTATGTTGATATCATTAAAATGTGCTTTTTGAAAAACCATAAACTTACAATATGGAGATTTATAAACATTTTAAATATTGACCAGTTTTATTCATTATTCAGTGTTTTTCTGTAAACCAGTCTTGATCTAACCAAGAATAAAAATGACATCAAAGTTCTACCTTAAATTTTGGGGGGGTGGGGGGGAGATGGTTAAAATCACTCAGTCCATTGGAAGAAAAAACTGGAAAATTTTAGGAGCAACTCTAGGTATACAACTTTGTACAATATTATTAGTTCGCAATAAAATGAGTTCTTCTACATTTAGAACTTGGAAGACTTTCCAGTATATTAGGGTCTTAATATGAACCTCGTCTCTTTAATGTCTTTAATGATCAGTACAACCCTACTCGATTTTAAGAGCTAGCTCAAGTCCACTTGACATTTTTACTCAATTATTATCCTCATATGCTGTAGGTCCCTACTAGCACCCCCACCCCCGCCAAGTTGGAGGAGGTCGTATCAGCTCTTGCCTGCAAAACCATGTCTTTGAAAGATCAGTCAATTTCACTCAAGTAAGCATTGGGCAAATTGAGTTTCAAAAGATGCTAAAAATTCTAGTACATCTTATTTTGGTTTGTAAGACTCAAACTCAATAACTGGTGGATAAAAATATGCAGAATTTTTTTTTTCCTTGAAAAACCAAACCAAAAGCCCCAACACCCTAGAGTTACATAAAAGTATAAAATTTAAAATTTTGTTATTTAAAGAATACAAAAACACTAACCTAAAGCGATATAACCACCCTATGTTTACTGCAGCATTATTTACAAGAGTCAAACTATGGAAGCAGGCCAAGTATCCATCCATAGATGAACAGATAAAGAAAATATGGCATATATATATATACATACATACAATGGGGTATTACTCAACCATAAAAAAGAATGAAATCTTGCCATCTGCAACAACATGGATGGATCTAGAGAGTATAATGCTAAGCAGAATATACCTGAGAAAGACAAATACCACATGATTTCACTCATATGTGAAATTCAAGAACCAAATAAAAAGAAAAAAAGAGACAGACCGGAAAAAAAAAAAAAAAAAGACTCATAACTACAGAGGACAAAGAGATGGTTACTAGAGGGGAGGTGGGTAGAGCAATGAGTGAACTAGGTGAAGGGGATTAAGAGTATACTTGTCTTAATGTGCACTTGGTAATATATGGAACTGTTAAATCACAATATTGTACACCTGAAACTAATAACACTGTATGTTGACTACACTGGAATTAAAATCTAAAAAAAAATTTCTTTGCTACTTAAAATATACAATCGACTAATCCACTTTAAAAATTAAAACTGGGGTCAAATACAATATATTCTGGTAAATACACCTTCATTCCTTAGTATGGCCAGTGCAAGAAAATGGAGACAGAAGACTCATAAATGAGTAATTAAACTGCTTCAGTAACACCCAGAAGTTCACATGTTATGTTACCACAGGCCCCAAAAAGATTAGCTTAACTGAAATACAATTCAACAGGTCTTACCCAAGAGTTGTAAAAAAGGTAGGCACACTATGGCCTGGCCTCCAAATTCTTCTTGGGCCTTCAGTAAGCCCAAGAATAAAATGTTATCAGTTTTAAAAGATAAAATGTTATCATTAAACTTTCAAAGCATCCTTAAAACCTCAAGGCAAGTAACAATTTTATTATTTAAGTTTCAAGGCAATCTTTTGAGGGCAGCCAACTCACAAAATAGCAATGAACTCTATTTTTAAAGGACAGATTTTTATAATTACAAATTCAATCTTCGTAAAACCAGAAGTTACACATTCCACGTCACCTTTCAAACTACGATCTCAAAAGTCAAACTCACTCAATTCCTCCATCCTCATTGTTCCGCAATTCTTATATCCCCATTTATGGCACCAAACATATGGCAGGGACAATCTGGAACGGGATGCTTATAATACCAATGGAGTTAACTCCATTCCCAGCACTGAACACTTCACAGACCAACCAGAAAGCCCGATACCAAGCAGTGAAAACAGTTCAAACAAAAGAGGAAAGGGGCAGGACATACAGATTCCAGAAACTGCAGCTATTTCTGCTTCAATGGATTATAGCCTGCAGGATGCAGATGGTAAATAGTGGGAGAGGAAGTAAGAAAGATCAATGCTAAGGTTTAAACAATGCTGGAGAGCAGAAATGGATTATAGTAAGAACACTCTAGCAGAATTGGGGGGGATGGTCTAGAGGAACATATAAAATATAGAAGCGGGGACATTAAGATATTATATACCCCTGCTTATCCTATTATTTTGGCTTGGATATGTGTGGCATCATTAACAAAATCAGTATCAAAATTAGAATTCCAAAAAGTGTTTAACAGTTATTTGTAGTTTGCTGCAAGCTCAAAGTTAGTTAGAAGAAGAGGAATTTGCTGTGGGACATTGTAATGCTGAGTTTACTTGCTCGGTATCCAGCTTGATACCAAATGTGTTAAAATACTGATCTGATAGGTAGGAAAATACTGATAAGGTTTAGAAATCACTTACAAGGTGGTAATTCAAGTTTACAAGTGAACATAAGCATGTATTTTCTGTGCTTCTAACAAGAACCCAGAGATCACTCCCTCGTTCATAATTTCTCCATTTACACTCTCTAGCCTAAGGTGGGAGGATCTCCAACCTTTTAGAATTCCTCCATGGAGATTGACTATAAAATCATACTGCTGTGTCTCTCTCTGTCACACAAATAAAATCTTTTTAAAAAAGAAAAGTCAATGAAATTATCTTTAGGAGTACTTTATCTTGGTATCAGTAACTAAGACATTTCCCCAATAAAAGAACATTCTACATTAAAAACCACATTTGCAAAACTACATTCAATTGCCATCACAAATATACCTCAACCAAGGAAAAAACCCCACTCCAGAGTAGCCCAAAAGATACCAATTTAAAACTAAATCCAAACCTGGATCCTCTGGGGTTTTTTTGTTTTTGTTTTTGTTTTTTGCGGGGGGTGGGGGGGTGGGGGGTGGTGGTAGACAGTACAAATTAAGATAAAAGGTATAATTAATATCTATTAACTAACTATATAGATTTCACAATTTAGAAAAATTCAGAGGAAAACGATTCCAGGTCTCTTTTAGGTCAGTGTGTTCTAGTCCAGTTTTACCACCAACTACCAAACTAGACATCTGAGAAGCCTGCCAGCTAGCTTTAAATGATACTATTGTTAATCCAATTCTAAACAGTGTTTGTCTCATCTCCAGATATACAACTGCTCTCCTTAGCATCCTTAAGAGGAAGATTTCAGCACGATTATGCCTACAACTAACTATTCATCAGTATTTTGTTATCCTAAAATCAACTGCCAATGCCAGAGTTATTAAAGGAAAATACGGATTCTGGTAGTCTGGTCCACGTTGTACTTGTTCAACTGTTAAGAGTAGTTAAGTACCACGCTTCCAAAGTTGTTACTTATCACTAGACCGAAGACCACGCAAAGTCCTCAAAGAACAGTTTGATACGAGAGTATTCTAATCCTCCATCACTGGCAATAGACATTAGGAAACAAAACGACGCTCTTTAGGCCTATGTCTACTTGCTACAGGTTTTGAAACGTCAGCTGTTTCAAATCTACTATGTATTGAGAAACAGTGAATCTATTTCTAAAATATTTGTCGTCCAAGTCTTCTTACATTCAACTCTCAATCTGATATTGCCTGATACTTTCCTACCATCAAGAACTTGCAACCAAACGCCGTTTTGCAAGACGCGTGCAAGAATGGAAAAAGAGCAGACCTCTCCGCCGATTTTTTTTTTTTTTTTTTTAAACAAGGCAAGTGGCGATCGCCTCAGAGTGACTGAAGAGTCGGGTAGCCCCAGGCCTTCCTCCCAGCGCGGCCGGGAGGGCGCCCACTCCCAAGGCTGGAAGGCGAGGCGCCCAGCGCCCGCACACCCCCGGCTGGGATTGGCCGGCCACGCAGTCATTCAGCGCCGACACGTCAGGGCAGCCGCTCCCTCCCTCCTCCCGCCCCCTTCTCCCCGCGCTTGGCAAGAAAAGCGGGCAACGTGGAGCGGGAACAAAGGACCCCGCGGCCCACGGCGATCCCGGACGCGGTGCCACCCCACTCCAGGCCCAAGGCACCGATGCAGCCCGGGGCCGGCTCCCCGCCCACACGCGCCGAGTCCTGGGAGGTCCCCGGGAAGAGAGTCCAGACCTCGTGAGAGACCCAGACACAGGGAGTCGGTTCCTGACAGCGGGAAAGGAGATTCCCGCGTTCTCCTTCCGGCAGTCATCCCTGCCGCGTGTCGCCCTGACCCAGGCCCCCGAGAATCCCATGGGCAAAAACTCCCGCCCTACTTCCTCTGCCCGAGCTCCCTCTGAGGCGGCCCGCAGCCGCCTCGGCCGCCAACGCGACTCGGCAACCATGGCAGCGCCGGGAGCGCGGGGCTCGCGCGGCGCCAGCTCCTCGCCCCCAGAAAGCGGCAGCAGCGGCTTGGAGCGTCCTCCCCCGGGACCAGGACGCTGCTCCGCACCTCGCACCGTCTCCCCAGCCGCCCGCGCCATCCCTCTGCTCAGACTCCGGTCGCGCCCTCTTCCTCCTCCACCGTCTGGAACCTGCGCGTATTACCTGGTTCATCTCTAAAGAGATGGAAAAACTCATGTCTGGAGCTTCGATGGGGAGCAGGAGGAAGCGGGCGGGAATCGGCCCAACGGAAAGCGCCTCGAGGCCGCGGAAGGGGGGAGCGGTCGAGCGGGAAGACCAGCGGTCAGCCGCAGAGGCTGCGAGGAGGGGCCGCGCCACCGAGGGTTCGCGGGGACTCGCTCGCTCGCTGGCACTGCCGCGCCTAAGCAGCAGGCGGAGAGACTGTGCAGCTCAGCTCTGAGCGACCGACCTCCACGCGCGTCCCGGAGACACTGCCGCCGCCGCCGCCCCGCTCGCGCCGCACCCCCTCGCACGTCACCACGTGCGCCGCCGCCGTCGCCGCCGCCGCCAATGTCTCCCGGCAGCTTCCGGCCCGAATCCGTCAGCGAATCACAAGCGAGCACGAGAAAGCTCCCGCTCGCGGCCCCGCCCACCGCTCGCCCAACCTCTCCTTCGCCCTCTTGGGTTCCTTCCTGCTCGGCTCAACTAGGTCAAGGCAAGGTGATCTCAGGGAGAGAGAGACAGTGTTTGGGGCTCGCCTCCTTTTATTTATCGCGTTGTGGTCTCCCTCCCTAGCCTCGCACCCTCGCACCCTCGCTTCGCCCTTTCGGACTGTGCCGGAACTGGTTTCCTCCAGCCGCCCTCACCTGTTCGGCCTCCCCCTCGAGGCACAATAGCCGGAGATCAGACGTGGGAGATTAGACGTCTCGACGTCAAATTTACATCTAGGCAACTGCCCTAGACTGGAGTTGGCCGCCCTGGACCTTAGAGTCTGCGGTTGGCGTGGGCCCTCACCTTTGTTGGAGGGAGGGAGGCATGGGGCGTGGGGATTGTGAGTGAGAAGAGAGGCACGCTGGGGGAAGGGGTGAAAGGGTTCAGGAACCGATTAAAAAAAAAACAAAAAACAAAACAACAACTATTGGCGCGGTCAGAGAAGGCCTTCTGTTATATTAGTGTTGCTATAAAAACCTGCTTTTGGCCCCCCAGATTTCTGTTTTGTCTGAGCACGGCTCTCCTTTCGGAGACAGTCCGTTCTTTGCTGATCTTGGCCGTCTTTTGGAAAAAGAAAAAAAAAAAAAAAACCTGGAAAAATCGGCAGTCCTTATCCTAATCTTCCGGGGCCTTTCAGAACACATGCCAAACTTAGTTATCCACCCTGCCACTTTGCCCCCAAGAGTCAAACCTGTCCCGGGGACAGGAGGTATCCTGGGCTCTGACGGTAACTTCATGTGACTGAGGGCATGCTGGAAAGATTCCTAGATTAAAGGTGAGGGGATTTACAGAGGTGAAGTTGTTTAGAGTTTGGCAGAGGCTTCCAGGCAAACGCCCTGTTAGTTTATCCTGATGTAGGGAGGGCACTTACACGGCATGCGCCCAACTTTGTATTTGACCATTCAAGTTAATTTGTAGACATTTCTAGGAGCCTACCATTCTTTATCATGAAGTATTTATGCTTATGGGAGCAGGAAAAATAAATGTTGGGGCCCTTCATCTGCAATAGAAGCTTTACAACTTTTCTTTCTAAAATCCTGAGGCAAGGTGGCTTGGTTTTTCACCCTTGTTCAATTGTGGGAGGAAATAGGAACTGAGATATCTATTAGTATGTCTCATATCTTGAGGATAAAAAGACTGCCATTTGCCACTGGGCTCTTGTTTTTGCCTCCTGATAATAACCCACAGCAGTGCTCACTTTTATTGCAAATGAAACTATCAGAGTACGTGCCTCTTCAGGTTTTTTTAAATATCATGGGGTTCATTCTTTCAGTGAGAGAGTATGAATTGCCTGCTTTAGAGAAGCACATGACCGTGTGGCCTGCTGGACACATGGTCCCACTTGCTGTACTCTAAATAGTGCCTTTGTGACCTGAAACAGTCAACATTTTTCTTAAAGCTACAGTGTGATCAGTCAGTACATTTTTGCCTTGTATGGAATCTCACATTTACATGTTACCTTTTCTGTAGATAATGGCATAATTAATTAGTTCCATTTGTCCTCTAGTCAACTGCAGACTCAAGCCTATCCAAGTACTGTGTAATCTAGAGGAAGACTTGAAAATGGAACACTGGCAATTTCAGCCTTATAAAGTAACAAATTATAAGATGTTATTCTTAATATTTAACTTAGGCAAGATATATGTGGAGAGTGCTTAATAAAAATAAAAACTATCAACTTCTGTTTTATGTCAGGCACCGAGAAAGATAAATTGGGAATTGGTGCCCATCTGTAATCTCTCCATTTTTCTTTCTGATCCTGCTTCAAATGTTGTCCCAGTGCTAAACTCTGACTTGTGTTTTATTTATTATATGTGAGTTCACTAGGGCTCCTCTAACAAAGTACCACAAACTGGATGGCTTAAACAACAGAAATTTATTGTCTCACAGTTCTGGAGGCCAGAAGTATGAGGTCAGGATGTCTGCAGGGCCATGCTCTGCCTGTGGGAGCTAAGGAAGACTCTGTTCCAGCCCTTTCTCCTGGCTTCTGGTAGTTCTTTGGCTTGCATGTCATTTTCCCTGTGTGCTTATCTCTTGGGTCCAAATTTTCCCTTTTTATAAGGATGCCAGTCATATTGGATTAGTGGCCCATTCTGAGTATGATCTCATCTTAACTAAATCTGCAGTGACTATTTCCAAACAGGATCACATTTTGAGGTATTGAGGGTTAGGACTTTAACATATGAATTTTGGAGGGGACATAATTGAGCACATTAGTTCAGTGTTTCTCAAGTTTGGTCACTGACCAAAACCACTCGGATGTTCTTATTAGAAATGCAGTCCAGGGACGCCTGGGTGGCTCAGTTGGTTAAGCGGCTGCCTTTGGCTCAGGTCATGATCCCAGGGTCCTGGGATCGAGTCCCACATCGGGCTCCTTGTTTGGCAGGGAGCCTGCTTCTCCCTCTGCCTCTGCCTGCCTCTCTGTCTGCCTGTGCTCGCTCGCTCTCTCTCCCTCTGTCCCTAACAAATAAATAAGTAAATAAATAAAAATCTTTAGAAATGCAGTCCATAGGCTTCACCCTAACAAGTGATTCCCAAAGGAGGAGAGTGATTTTTGCCCTGAGGGCACATTTAGCAACATCTGGAATAGGCCCAGAGGAAGGATGCTGTGGTATCTAGTGGACCTGGAATGCTGCTCAACCACCTACAAGGCACAGGGTAGTCCCCACAGCAAGAAAATCATCTCTTAATATATTAATAGGGCCAAGATTTGGAAACCCTACTCTAGAACTGCTAGATCAGAATCTGGGAAAGGGGCCTGGAAATGTACATTTTGATATGCATCCCAAAAACCTGTATCCATACTAAAGTTTGGAAACCACCACAGATACAAAAGCCTTTTCTAGGCATGTGAACATGAACCATTTTGTTCCAGATATTAGTCACACCTCTTCTTGATTAGCCATGCAAACTATAAGTTAATCTAAGTAAATATTATTACTTAGCAATTCACACAGTTTACTCATCTCCCCCTAACATCTTTTTTTTTTTTAAAGATTTTATTTATTTATTTGACAGAGAGATCACAAGTAGGCAGAGGGGCAGGCAAAGAGAGAGGAGGAAGCAGGCTCCCCGCCGAGCAGAGAGCCCGATGCAGGGCTCCATCCCAGGACCCCGAGCCGAAGGCAGAGGCTTAACCCACCGAGCCACCTAGGCGCTCCTTCAACTGGAAACGTGTTTACATTTTAATACTTCTATACCACATTACCTTGTTTTGGTCAACTGTCTTCCTATTCTGGATGTCCTTTGCTAAATGAAAAAACCGTTGCAAATTTATGGTTTGACAAGTCAATGCTTTGCCTCCTCTTGTCTACTGATTTCTGTTGTACTCTGAGTGGCCGACTGACTTGTCTATTTCATATATTGCTCTCATCTCTTATAGTCTATGTTTGCTGTGCCCCCCCCTTTTTTGTCTCTTTTGGCATTTGAAAATATTTTTGTGGTACATTAGTGGTGGCTTAAGAGCACAAGCAAGAAAATGGTAGTGTCATAAAAGGCACAAGAAACACAGGGGAAAATCCTAAAACTTCATTAAAGTAGGTCTTTGGAAACTATTATATATTACAGTATATAACAGAGAACTTGCTACCTTTCTAAAAATTGTTTTAAGTATTCCCTTTTAGAATCTTCCATTTTCCTGGTAAGACTTCCATAGAGAGTTTGCATCAGAACAGATTATATAATCTGATACTTTGATCCTGCATTAGCCTCGCTCTTATATTATCTAAGCCAACTGTTTTACTAATGACCTTTTGTTGGTTTTCTAAAGTCATCACTGATAAAATTTTAAGAACTCTAGCCCCCTCTTCCAGTAACCAAAACCTCTAATAGTTTCTTTCTTTTTAACGATTCCTTAGGAATTAAAACTTCTCATATCAGGGGCGCCTGGGTGGCTCAGTGGGTTAAGCCTCTGCCTTTGGCTCAGGTCATGATCCCGGGGTCCTGGGATCGAGCCCTGCATCGAGCCCTGCATCGAGCCCTGCATAGGGCTCTCTGCTCAGCAGGGAGCCTGCTTCCCTTCCTCTCTCTCTGCCTGCCTCTCTGCCTACTTGTGATCTCTCTCTGTCAAATAAATAAAAATCTTTAAAAAAAAAAAAACAACTTCTCATATCATTCAGACGTTCTTCTAGTGACATTATATGACCTTCAAGCCTGCTACCTTCTTAGACTATGCGGCCAACAACTGTATGTTCAGCTTTTGAATTCTAATGTGTAACCTAAGCTTTACTAAGCCTTCATCCAGAACACCTTTTGTTTAAAAAAAAAAAATTAATTGTTGAAAATAAGCAACGCATGGAATTAGCAGCTGAGTTTTTTTTTTAATGTTAGGTTAGTCACCATACTTAGCTGAGTTTTTAATGTCAACGTTATAATCAAATGTATAAACAAAACTGTGGTAACTTAAGTGCAAATCTATACAGTTCAATCCAGGAGCGATCTTTTATTGTGTTCACATCCAGAACTTGATCCCTAAATGGATGGAAGTTACACACTATAGTTCAGTTGTACTACCAGCCAACTGTTGCTTAGTGTAAACTGATCTCCTGATAAATGAAGTCTTTAGAGAACGAAACAGAAAAGATAGAGCAGTGGGGTTGTAACATCGGTTCTCCTTTTTCTGTAATGTGTCCCACTCTCTGGAGGAGAATGGAATGAAGGAAATGAGATAATACTGAAATTTTACAAGAGTCCAATGAATTAGGCTTTCTAAACTACTGAAGACAGAAAGTCATAAACTTGTTATCTAAGGGTTCCCCCACCCTTGATAGTGATCCCTCAAGGCTATGGTCTTCCTAAATTGGTACCCT